AACTGATTTTCCATTCGTCGTTGTCTTGCAGAAGATCCCTCACTTCTTCTAGCAGTTTGATACTAGATTTAAAATAATCCTCAGCTCTGGAAAAGTCGTCGGGGAATTTCAGAAAAACTATCCCAAGTAGTGTGTACGCGAAACGTTCTAGTCCTTTGCTTCCAGTCTCTTTTCCGATACTAACAGCATACTGAAGGAACTCGAATGCTTTTTCAAAATCCCTCGAGGCATAGAAATGACCAAGGTGCGCATATGCCACTCCTTCTTGAGCTTTTTCTCCAGTCTCCTTTGCGATTTTAAGAGACTGGTTTAAGAATTTTAATGCCTTTTCGACATAACCGAGATAAAGATGAAAACTACCAAGGCCCTGATTTGTTCTTGCTTCTAAATGTTTGCTTCCAGTATCTTTTGCGATACCAAGAGCCTTCTCACAGAACTCGATTCCTTTTTCTAACTGCCTGAGAGAGCAGTGAGCAAAAGCAAGGGTAACACACACTTCTCCTTCTAATTTTTTCTTTCCAGTCTTCCTCACGATACGAAGAGCATCACGACAGAATTTGATTGCTTTTTGATGCTGCCCGAGAGAGTGATAAGCACTGCCAAGGTTTAAATATGCTGCTCCTTCTGAATCTTGGCTTCCAGTCTCTTCAAAGATACCAAGAGCCCGCTGAAGGAATTCGATTGCTTTTCGGAACTGCCCGAGAAAGAGATAAACACTGCCAAGGTTTAAATATGCTGTTCCTTCTGAATCTTTGTTTCCAGTCTCTTCAAAGATACCAAGAGCCCGCTGAAGGAATTCGATTGCTTTTCGGAGCTGCCCGAGAGAGCGACAAGCGTTGCCAAGGTTTAAATATACTTTTCCTTCTGAATCTTTGCTTCCAGTCTCTTCAAAGATACCAAGAGCCCGCTGAAGGAATTCGATGGCTTTTCGGAACTGCCCGAGAGAGTCATAAGCACTGCCAAGGTTTAAATATGCTGTTCCTTCTGCATCTTTGTTTCCAGTCTCTTCAAAGATACCAAGAGCCCGCTGAAGGAATTCGATTGCTTTTCGGAGCTGCCCGAGAGAGTCGTAAGCACTGCCAAGGTTTAAATATGCTGTTCCTTCTGCATCTTTGTTTCCAGTCTCTTCAAAGATACCAAGAGCCCGCTGAAGGAATTCGATTGCTTTTCGGGGCTGCCCGAGAGAGCGATAAGCATTGCCAAGGTTTAAATATGCTGTTCCTTCTGCATCTTTGTTTCCAGCCTCTTCAAAGATACCAAGAGCCCGCTGAAAGAATTCGATTGCTTTTCGGAACTGCCCGAGAGAGCCATAAGCAATGCCAAAGTTTAAATATGCTGTTCCTTCTGAATCTTGGCCTCCAGTCTCTTCTGTGATACCAAGAGCCCGCTGAAGGAATTCGATTGCTTTTCGGAACTGCCCGAGAGAGCGATAAGCATTGCCAAGGTTTAAATATACTTTTCCTTCTGAATCTTTGCTTCCAGTCTCTTCAAAGATACCAAGAGCCCGCTGAAGGAATTCGATTGCTTTTCGG